ATGTAAGTATTGTTAATTTATGTTTTTTTTTTTGTTTATCTTTCTATTATTACATCTTCTATACTATTTAGTTATTGTATTTCGACAAAAGAGTTTACGTACTGTACCAAATTTACTTATTGTTTCATTGGCCGTTGGTGATTTTTTATTCGTACTCTTTTGCGTACCATATGGAGCGGTTACTGTAAGTGTGATTAAATTATAAACGATCATTATTAAATCAGTCTCTTCATATTTGAACTTATACTATTAGACTTTTAGAATTATCTAGAAATAGAACAGAAGCATGAAGAAATATAGAATATTTTTCACAAAAATCTATTTTCTATTAGCTCGTTTTTTTTTCTTCTTCTTCGTCTCCTATTTTGATTATGAAATGTACCATTAGCTACATTTTTTTTTAATAATGCATTTAATTTGAATATTTTAGTTTGCATTCAGTTTTTATCCATTTCAAAATTATTATTGTCAATTTGAAATATTTATTATTAACATGTCATTAGGTGTCTCAGTATTTTCTCTATTAGCATTATCTGCTGATAGATACAAAATAATAACAAATCCATTCAGGTTTGTAGATTCATTATCTCTATTGTAACATATAATGAAACTAATTTATTATTTTTCTTTTTTTCAAACTTTTCTAGTAGTCATGCTAATGATCCAGCCATTAAATTGAAACTAATTGTCATTTTTATTTGGGTTATATCAGTTTTATTAGCAACACCAGAAGCAGCATACTCGGGTAAGAAGGTGAACTTAACAATAATAGATAAAAATTTCTTGTAGATCAAATGATTGAAAATATATCATAGAGAAAAGAGTTTTCTTCTCCATTTATTTATTATTACAAATAAAAATAAGTTCGACAGTTTTCAAATAACTAATTCGCTCACCAATATATTTTCATCACAGTCATCTCTAGTGAATGTGTACTTGCATGCACGTGTTTGATCAAGTACCCTCGCAAGTTTTATCCAACGTTCTTGCACTTTTTTGCAAGTAAACCAAGTACTTGCCAGGAATACGAAGTACTTGAATTGCTTTATCTTCTTGTCAAGTCCCGTGCCAAGCACTTGTCCAAGTAATCCCAAGTACCTGTGAGAGGTTCAACAAGTAAATCAAGCACCTGGCAAATGCTTTCAGAC